AGTCACAGTTTGTGGCCATGGATTGCTACATAAGTAAAACAGCCAGAGTTTTTGTGATCTGTGCTCGCATTTTATCTACCTATTTTAAAGCAATATGGTGAAAATAGTAAAGGAAAGGATTTACACATGGTGCACAACTGTTGTCTGCACATGTCGTGATGTAGTAACACCAGAAACCAAAGCTATCATCCCCTCTATCAATAGGGGACAGCAGGGGGGTTGATTTCTGAATGCAGCATTAACAACGAAAGAGAGCTTTACTGTCTTTTTCTCAGTCAACATTAGGCCTGTTTTAATGATATTGTATGTGTATTAGTACATCTTCAGTGGAGCATTCTTGCATGTATCCAAGTCTTGGAAGAGTAGGCAAAAGCAGAGTGTGTCCCCTGTCTGTCCACTGCTGGCAGTCTCTAGCCCCCTTTCATCCCACACTTCCTCAAAAGCTAACAGGAAGCTCCACCTCCTTCCTGCCTTGCCCCTTTGAGGAAAATAGAAATGGTTCACTAAGTTGCCTCCCCCTCCCCAGCCTGTGCAACATGACACTGCAGTTTACATTTCAGGAGTGAAGACAAAATGATACTCAAGTAGGGGGTTCCTTATTTTAAGACATAAAGACCAAAAGTCAGTGAATTGTAATCTCTTTCCCAGTTCTCCTGAAGAATATTTGTCCTTTTTTTTTTGACCAGATTACGGTGTTTTATATTATGAAGGTGTGACAGCAATGTTTAATGTAAGAATCTGTACTATACCAAGAGTTCAGGATGGATTATGTTGTGTATGCAGTTTTGCTTTTGCTTTTCACCGCCNNCTTATCACTTGATACAAAAAAAAAAAAAATATATATATATATTCTATTGGACCTATCAGGTGCTTCTTGTCATTGAGATACTATTTTATGTATAGAAGTATTTGCAATACAATGTAACTCAAAGAGGAGCAGAAATTCTGTTTGATTTATTAAACAATGATTTGTACTCATTGCGACTGCTTTGTGTGTGTGTGTGTGTGTGTGTTTTGAAAGAAACCTTGTCTTGTTCTCTGCATGGTTCAGAGTGTACAACACACTACGCACTCTCTGACTTACTCACAGTAAAGCCCTTATTCGCTTTTGCAGATTCTTGCGTAGAGATGGATAGGAATGAGAATGAGTCGGCAGCCTGTGTGAAGGGTCAAAGAGTGTGTTTGTGGAGGAGGTGAAAGAGCCCTTTTACCCCACATTCATCCCTCACCCCCATCAGGTGCAGCTGGATGTGTAGACCACATAAAGTAGCCAGGCGAGGATATCTTATACACCAGAAAGTACATGCATTCTAAGTTATTAAGTGTATGTGTTATAGTGTTTTTAGGGCTTCATTAGAGTTAGCAGCATTTGTTTCAGTTAAACAAATATTTAGCAAGACTGTTATACTAAGTCTTTAAACTTCATTTTCAGGTTGTAGAAGAGTAACTAATTATAAAAAATGCAGCCTTTTTTCTGTTTCCTTTGACCTACTCTACACATGCCTGCTATATTTACACAAAGCTGCCAATAGGCTAAAGGTCTGTGGAAGTCATGCGTGAACTAATTTGAATGTAAATAACATTTACTGGATGCCACAGAAAAACTGTGCAGTGTGTACAGTCTGATAAGGGTTATCTCTTATTTCCATCTGTCAGTCAGAAAAAATAGTTTAACTGAATGCTTCTGCAGAACTTGAATCCTTTGCCCTCTGTGTCACATTTTTTATATATAATGTTTATTGTACAATTCATACAGTACGTATACACAGTCCTCAAATAGCACATCTTCTCTGCCTGACCCTAGACAGTGAGACAGCACTTAAAGGGGAGTGGGGTTATTATATCTAATATAATTTAGTGTTCTTATGTATTGAATTGTTTGAGTAATAATATTAAAACCCTTTTCATTTCAGCAAAGTTTACACAACTGATTAAATTCATAGTTGGCTTAAAATTCAAAATGAATAAAACTGGAAAATCATAAATATGCAATAAGCACACACCATATGCTGAGTGTTCAATAAACAGTCTCACGTGCCTGCCGTTTGGACATGCCTCCTCTCAGTGGTTAGTAGAAGCTTCACTCATCTGTCAACACATACAAATGTACCTGTCCTTTGGCTGGGTTGCTAATATTGTGTCAAGATTCAAAGTATCAAACTAAAGGTACAAAATAGACGTAGAAAATACGCAAGAAATCACTTCCCATGAATGAATGAAAAATGTCCATGTCCCAAAAATAACGCAACAGTATAAAGTTTTGAGTCCACAGTTATGAGAATATTGAGTCTACCAGTCACATTTGAAAGTAGCTTTAAAAAACAGCAGAAGAGAGACCATTTCCAGGTTACCCTGTGGGTTCACTCGCAACAAAAGCTGTTGTTGACATAACTGACATTCATTCCTTCTCAATGAGCTCTGTCAATAAAAAGTCAATCACTGGACGTTATCATCACCACGGCGTCCCAGTGAGATCACCATGTGATCCCTGTATTGTTCCTGTGTCCTAACTGTTGTCATGGTGACAGTGGGTCAGGGTGACAAACGGGTTCGGAAGGTGCGTGGCCGGATCATCATGCTGACTTTGCGTAGGGAGTAGTAGTCAGAGTCTCTCCAGGAGTACCAGACGATCCCATCAGGACCCAGCGGCCCCCGGCCTTTAGGGGTGTAATGGCCTCCCTGCAGGATTAAGAGGTTATAAACACTCGCATGACTTTAAAAGTTTAAAGTCAGGGGTTATCTTAACACTTACCCTGTAGTAGACCCCATTAAGGTTGGCATAGAAGCACTGGTTGTACCACCAACCGCCATGGGAGATCTCAGCACAGATGTTGCCACTGTCGGGGGTGCTGAAGCCCTGCTTGTCGTGGTACCAGCTAAAAGAGTCCAAAACTGTCCCACTAAAGCCTGACACATGAAGACGGTACTGATGCTCCTCGTCTTCCACACTGCACACACAAAGACATACAGAGGAACAGTAGGAAATTAGGAAGTGTATCTATGTTCCCATGGTCCTAACTAAGTTCCCTAACCCCCTAGCCCCAAAACCCTAGATCTTGGGTACATAGGACCTGTAGCTGGTTGTGCATGTTTGTAGTAATGTTGTCAACTGTTTGTGTACTGCATGACACCAACCTGAAGCTCTGGTACAAGGCATGTTTGTGCTTGTTGCTCCAGTCCTCTAGGTGGATGCGGAGGCTGTAGTCTCCCTGGGTGCTCAGGTCATGTATGTGTTCATTGCCCAGCCAGAACTCTGAGTGCAGGTCACCAAAGCCGTCCTTGTAGTCCCTCCAGCTACGGTCAAAGCTCACTGAGCCGTCAACACGTCGCTGGATCACAGTCCAGCCACCACCTGAAGCAAAAAGAATGCATCGCACTGGAAGGGAAAGCATATACCACGTCTAATGGGTTATTATTCTTAGCTCCCATCTGGCCAAAGGAGGTACACAGGTCCTACAGCAAACCTGGAGTTTAGTCTTGCTCAACAACACCAGAGAAGAGTGACTATTTCCCAACGCATGGATTGAAACCCCTTATGTCCATGTATGTGACTCACCATCTGTGTCCATATCACAGTAGACCTCCACTGGCATGCTGGCCAGAGATGGCACTATCGTGTAGAGACCTGATCTCCTCACTCCATTGTAGTAGATGGAAGCACAGTCTATGGGACAGTTCCTCACATGCTGAATCTCTGAGGGAAGAAAATGTGAGACAGGGTTGAGTTGGAGTAAACCATCAATGGGAGGTTGGCGCCCTCTGGTGGCAGATCATAGCATGTGAGACTCCATGTTGCCTACCTGGGTGCAGAGCTTCTTGAGCACTCATCAGTGGGTTGGGACGGACGATATTGATCGAGCACCCAGGGCTTCTTTTTACTCTGTCCACCAAAAGTGTCAGATTATGGAGTTGGCTCTGAACAGAAATACAGTGAAACTATCAAAAACCACCCTGCGCACCTGGGTTTTGAGGTTTTTGTTGCTCAATTGTTTTAAGAACATGCCTAAAACACTGAAAGTGAACTAGTACTGGGTATACCTGGAGGTCTAGGATCAGAGTGCCCTGTAGGTGCAGCAGGGTACTGGCTTCAGAATAGTGAACCTCCAACTCATGAAAACGCTGCTCCAAGGAGATATTCACGTGGTTCCTCTCTTCACTCTGACACCACACCCAATTAAACAAGCACACATAAAAAAACATTCTTTTTCAAGGCAGAAACCTTTGTCCTGTATTTTGATCTTAAATACATTTAAAAATCAATTTCTAAAAATATAACTTCCCATACACATCTGCACAACATGCACACACATGCAGTTTTTTCAGCTATAAATGACACACTGGGTATGTTATTAGAACTGATTAAACTAACAAAACAACACTGATGTAAAATATGTGACATACAGTTATGAACTATCATCAATTTTAATTAAATAATGTAGACTGGCTTAAGTATGCTAAACTTAAATGTATTTCTTTCTTTATGTTAAAAGTAAAGTATCTTACATTTTAGTTTTTCAAGGACATAAGCATGCACAGAAAAACATGCATTGATTCTTTTAGACCTCTTAGCTGCTTTGTGTATTGCAGCAATGGTGCATTGCAGCAGATGCAGCATCTGACAGCTTTTCCCTTTTTTTTCGCATTCTGGTATATTTAAAGGGTTTTTAATGCATTGATTTCAAAGTTGTTAGCTTGTTCTTTCTGTTTCGAGATGTTTGACAGCATAATATAAAAATGCAGTTATTTTAAATGCTGCCTTATTTCGTTATATGCTGACATATATAGCACTTTGAGGAGCCACTAGTGTAAAAGATCTTTGTAGATTTCTCTCTGTCGGCCTCTACTTTATTATGAAATGTTTCTAGAATATTAGCATTCTAACATGCAACATCTCCCAGTACTCTCAGGACAAAAATGACTCGTCCTCTCTTGTAAAACTTAAAGCCAGGCACTTCAGTATGCGGTCTATTCTGGGCCTGGACATGGAGGATAACACTAACTCCCATTACCACAAACCCTGGAGCCCTCTCCCCCTGCCTTGTTCTAATGTACAACACACACAACACACAAACCCTTTTCACCATCCACCTTTGGCCACTGGCCAGTTCAACTCAGGGTAGTTTGTATAGGCTCACTGCTTGAGACGCATGAAGCAACACGTGGAAGAGTAGGAGGCTAATCCTGTTAGTACCTAAGGTCAAGGACATGTTGGTGGAAGCCAGCTTGATGACCAGGCACCATGTTACAGTGCAGAACTGTATATAGCTAATGTCATGTGTTTCCTGTACTGAAATACAGCACAGGGAAGGTTTTTAATAGTGACTGCAAAGAATGATCACTATCAGCCAGTCACAGTATACAGAGAAAAATAAAAGTGGACTCCTTACTTTCAAATCAATGGTGAAAGTACATATTAAATCAAACCACGTTCAAGAGTTATTTGATCAAATATTTATGTCTAGTCTGAACTGTCTCTCAACCAAATGGTGCTGAACAGAGAAAGTACAATAAAGAAGTAAATATGTTCTAAAAAGTCTTGCTCTGAAAAGTTATATTTAATGCTACACACACACACACACACACACACACACAGAATATAATAAGTTTACTTTTCAAATGAACAAAAAAGTTAGTTCTGTTACACGTCTAGGCTGTAGAAAGGAACCGTCACGTTGTCACAACATCCAGTGAGCTCCAGCTAGACTAAAGCAAGCACTCAAAGCAGTTCAAAGGATTGCTGCTGATAGTTGACCCAGGTCTGCTAAGTCCATATGGGAGTCTCACCTGCAGCTCGAGGACTTTGATGCGGTGCCGATGGTTCCTCAGCTCCTCCTGCAGCTCAGAGATGGTTTCCTTCAGAGCCACAATCTGCTGTTTCCTCTCCTCGTTCTCGTGCAGCCAGTAGGACACCTCATCTGTGCAGCGAAACATATCCGGGCATTTCTGCTCGTCCAGCTGAGGCAATGTGGCCACCAGTCGACACATCCCATCCTCCAACACCTATTAGATGAGATTTATGAAAAACAACTTCAGAACTGCTGTTGCTCAACAAAATCTTTTCATCAATAACCATAAGTGGGATTAAAATATTCCAGCTGTGACTGTATTTTTTCTCTCTCCAACAAATCAATAAATTCTATTGAATCTGTCAGATTCAAAGTGTACACTGGGTCTTCACCATGTCCTTACAAACCAGACACAAGCTTATCTCATCATTTTATACCATTTATATACAGAGGACCTTGCAGGTCAGACACAATAGTGCTGATAAAATTGGTTAAACAATGAATATTGCAGATTCTAATTCATGATTGCAATTTATATCCTTGCTTGCATCATATATATCGTGATAGTTATCCCTTTGATATCCCTGTCAGGCCAGTGTGTTACAACACTGTAACGATATATGTTGATTTTATTTTTAGGTATTTTATTCATTGGATTGACCATAAATTCCATAAACTGTCTCTCAATCGATTTTCCAGACAGTTTAACACTGATATATGTCTGTATTTGTATCTGTATCTGTATATGTCTGTATTTTGATATTAAATTGCAAATACCATGACAAAGGACTTTATCCATATCACCAACCCCTACTTAAAATAATAACCCCTATTAATCACCCTAATAGAGACAAGACATCATTCTGGACTCTTTGTAGACTACATAATATCATGATTCATGAAAACAAAAAGTAGGCTACTTGAAACATTGAGTATTTAAGGCAGTACTCTCAGTCTCTTGAGTCTCTGCACACAGGAAGAAATCTTAAACCTTTGCCACATATTTCTTTCTACATTTACTCTGATTGTTATAATCATGTGCCTTTTGTATCTAGTGTGTTGCTTTTGTCTTAGAGTTATGAAAAGTATATTTACATCTCTAAATGCACTATACATGTAACTTCGCGTAATTTCGATGAAAATATTGTACTTTTTATATTCATATAAAAACATATGATCCGTTTCTAAAATACAGTATGATTTAATGTTATAAATTTAACTACCAAAAAATATAAAGCAGTTCAAAATAGGTCAAAGACCAGCTCCAGTATGAAAATCATATTTTAGATCCAAAGAGGTAAAAGTATTCAATATTTCACAAAAAAGCAAAGATTAAAGAAAAGTCAAAAATATGAATATTATATTTGTCTTGATCCTTTGAAGGGAAACCAGTGGGCTTAACTAGCCAACAAGTACTTTTATTTTCTGATACTGAGTATATTTTGCTGATATTACTTCTGTACTTTTAGGATTTTGAATGCAGGACTTCTACTTGTAATGGAGTATTTGCAGATTGTTGTGTTGGTACAGGGCCTAAAGTGGATCTGAGTATTTCAACTCACTGCTGTCTTGCATGTTTAAATATGTATTTCTGGCAGAGCAAGTGACTTTTTAGTGATGTAAATGTAGCTGAAACATTATTCTGATTCCTGAAGAGTTGAGATGTCTCTGGAGTAAAGGGAGGAAACAGAAGGCAGTAATAAGTAATAATAATATCGCTCCTGCAGAAGCTTGTTCAGAGAACATCAGTTTTGGTGTGTATCCAGGATGTTTACAGTAATTACCTGGTTAGTGTATTCTCCACACTGGGATCCCCCGCCATTACCCTGAGTGGTAGTGTTCAGGTTGTCTGATTTGGCCTCTGGAAGCAACACCATAAGGATCCAGAGAGCAGAGCACACGCTCCAGCCAGGAGGGTTGGTTAAGGACAGGAGAGACATTGCTGTCGTCCGGTTAGTCTGTTCCTGCCTTGTCAGTGAGAGCGGGGGCGGGACACGGGAGTGTGCGCTTCACCATGTGAGGCTCAGCTGGCTCTTCCTACAAGGACAAAAACAGACAAAATTGTGTATTGTGCTCCTATTGTTGAGTTCATTAAGCCGTTAAGACACCTAGTACCTAGTACACACAGTACAACTAACAGGACATAAACTTAGGAAAGTGAGATTAATTAGGAGGAAGGTGATCCCCTCAGTCTATCACAGAGCTTGCACACGTCACCTGCTCTTAAAGCCAAACTGAGGTTTTGACATCAACTAAGCTTAATCAGGAGGAAGATAACTTCTTCACATCTTATAAGTTTCTAGGTCTCACCCAGTAACATACACACATGTACAGATAACATAACAAAATGTGGTATTGTCCTTTGCAGCAAATAGTTAATTTCTTTTGTTACCATGTAGGAACTTGTGGAAATGGAGGCGTACTCACCCCAGTTACAGACCATCTTCTACCCCATTCCCAGCCCATTTCAGGCCGAGGGGTTCTCTCCATTTTCTTCTTATCCTTCTCTTCTTCTCTCCCTGTATCACTATCTCTCTCCCTCTGTGTGCCTCATGCTCCTCCTGTGTCTCTCCCTCTCTCTCCGTCACTCTCTGTTTCCCTCTCTCTCCCTCTCAGTGTAGACATCTTAGTCTCATAATCCAGCTCTAAGAGGATTCACAACGACTGAGGGACAGAGCGAGGCAGACAAATAGGGAAGCAATAATCAAATTATTGGTCAAAGCAAGACACGGAGAGAAATTCTGCAAAAATGTATTATTTTTCTAGCAATGTCAATTTCTTTATGTTACTAATAAATCAAATGCTGGCATGGGTGGTTACATAACAGGATGCAGCAATATGTAATGCATTGTATTTCATAGCTCTGAAGTGTCTTAGATTTTACTGAAGATTGTGAGCAATAAACTGATGCCATATCATAAAACAGGTTGTAAGTTTCAACTTTTCAGAGAAAAGAAGGAACAGAGTCAATGCATTTCTGGAAAATTAATACACACACACACACACACACACACACACACGCAGCACACAGCACACACACACACACATATTGGCACCTACAGCAAATAAGCATCACCTATAGGCACAATAATCCTGCTCAAAGTGGTAATGAAGGCTGATGTGAGTGGGAGTGTGAGGGGTGCTGATCCTATTACAACAGCCAAGCTCCTGTTTACATCTTTATGCCCTCGACTATGGCTTAGCTCTCCTTGTTGGGAGAATAAACTAAACGCTATTGAAAGCCCAATTATTTGTTTTTATGGAACTATAATGTGATGGATATTCATTATGCCGTTATAAAATGCAAAAACATTTCCCTAACTGTTGATACTGTGACTGTACTATATTTGCAACACTGCCTGGGGTAACTTTGTCACACTGAACTTTGTCCTTAAAGGGGCCCTGCAGAGAAAAACTTCTGAGCTGCTATCCGCCTGCTATTTTCAAGGGATTTGGCACATTACACAGAAGTTTGGCCTATACATTGCATATAAACTGAATTCCACATAATTCTCAGGAAGGTAAAAAAAAGTTTCTGTGTTGTACCTGATGGTGTCTGTGTGTAAGGCCACTTGGTGGCACCATGTAACAACTTAATTAACTGGTGGCTTTAACTGTGGCGGTAATAAGCTTCCCCACTGAGGTGCCCCAGAGAAACAATACAAACAACAAATAATTCAACAGAATAACAAGACAAGGGAACTCATTTGCTGCTACTAACAGAAGACACTGATGCCAAATAGAGCAGAATTAAGAAAAGTCTGCTAACCAGATGGGTGGTGGGATCTTGGTAATCTGGTGCCAGGACAAAGGCTGTTTAAAGAGATTAAAGTTATTTTATTCATATATTTTCAAGTGTTCATTCATTATGAAAGGAAGGTATTTTTTTTTGTTTCAGCAGTTTACATCAAATCCTCACTTAATTCTAATTTTGTTTAGTTCAGTTCTATAGGAAAATTAATTTACAAAATAAAGTGTTAACTGGATATTTTTTTGTGTCAGAACAAGAGGTAATGATTAATTTGACCACACATTACAGTCAGTCATCATAAAGAATTTTAGACACTCACTGATTTTATGTGGTTAATACAAATATTTTTGCCACAGTGTTTGATAAACTGCTGTTACATTTGACAGTGTACTTTCTCTGCAGCAACAGATTCAGACCAACAGATCTAATCTAGCGTCAATAGCTGCTGATCAGTAATCACAGCATAAACAACTTTAAGCAAGCTTTGAGGCAGCTTTAAAGCCACATTTGGTCACTTTTGCTGAACAGCGGCCTCTGCAGGTAACTACAGTATAATCCATATAGAATTAGCCTTCTTTTCCCAGGATTCCCTTGTGTCAGCTGATTTAGCCGTAGCATGCAAACTGTGGTTGTAAAAGAAGCCCAGGAAGAGAAGATCTACAAAGTCAGCAAATGTACTCATTATTGTTACTTACACAGCTATTTAACGTTAGCTAACTTTAGCTCATCATACAGTCTACTGGTCATAACAAGTAAGCTTGTAGTAGGAAAAACCTGCGAGCATGTTGAACTGAACAAGGGTGCGTTTTATTGTTTATAAAGTCCACTTCACATTTATAAAGATTGTGGTACTTTAACCTAAAATAATACAGTCTCACTTTAAGGGCATACGTGGAAAGTAGCAGTTTAGTCAGTGTAGCTCTTTAGTTCCTTTAGACTGAGACTTTTTATTTAAAATTAATCCTTTTGACCTTGTTATAAATATTTACCACTTATGATACCGCCTGTTGAAATTACTTCACGCCAGTGCCAACGTAATGAAACCATTTACTTGTATTCTTTGCATTTAAAACGATTCATCTTGCTGAATTATTCATCATATTAAAAAGCCAGTGTAACATTTGTCATGATGTTAAGTGGCTTTTCCCAGCATGTTGACATAGAGCTAAAAGCTGTGGCTGAGTGATGTGACAGTTTGACAGGATGCAGGACAGGTGGTGATGGTTTAAGAAGGAGGTGGAAGGAGAAGGGATGGTGGGAGGTCTTTCACTTCCTGTGTTAGGAGTATGTTCACAAGCAACTTAATAGAGTTTGGATTGATTTATCCAGCTCTCTTCCTCTGACTAAAAATACAAGACCTTTTGTTGAAAGGCTAACTGCTTGCATCGTTCCTAGAGACATGGCATGTGTAACTAAGGAGCAAATGTCCATCACACAGGGTGAAATAACTGTTACTAAGGGTAAAGCAGCTGATGCTCTAAACTGACATGGAAGGAGGTTGTTGTAGTTAGTAAGACGTCTGGTTCCTGCCAAAGAAACTAATTTATGAAAATATATGTGTGTGTGTGTATGTAGTTAAGAAAGAAACCCAGTGAACTAAGGTCACACACAGCTTATTACTGCTTTGATCTGACACAGCTTGCTCTGTCAGAATAAATACCAGAATAAATGAGTGAAGAAATATAATGAACACAGATGCTTCCATACAGGGCAAGGAGCGGGGGGGGGGGGGGGTCACTGAATGGTTTGAGTATGAATATTATATGAATGATAATGATGCTATGACCTCCGCACTCACCACATAGTCAGCCCTATTAAACACCTATGGGAGATTTTAAACCCATTTGTTAGACAGCGTTCTCCACCACCTTTATCAAAAGACTATATATCTTTGCTTGTAAGCAAAGTTAAATGGAAATAATTTATTGGAAGTGTATAGATTAAACATAGTCTATTTTCATACATTTAACACAATTTATATAGTGTAACCCTAGCTCCCTTTACAGGACACTTCCCAGAAGATTTAGCAAAGTACAGATGGATAACATTTTTAAAAATTCGCATAAATTCAAAAGGTTATTGAACTGTGCAGCTCAGTCAAGAGACCCGCCGATCCACTAGAGTCATATATATTTTCATATTTATTTTTAATGAACTCTTCCAGGGCAGTTTCATTCCAAGAAAATACTGGCTGTTTCACCTTTTACCTGACTCTGGTAAATAATGAAGTAGGCATTCAGTAGTTGTGGATGATAGCTCACATCTCGTCCTCGCAGGTTCTCATGGATCCTGGTGGAGGCTCCCTGCCATTGGTTCTGCTTGACTGCATTGCTAAATCAATGATATTATTGTTGTTATTATTATTAGTTAGTATTGAAGTATTATTTTACAGTTACTGTTTCCTGTTGTTGCTGCTCGCTGGCCCCCTTATCGTTGCTGCTGTCGTCGTCGTCATCATCTTCTTCATGTTCATTAGTGTATTGGTGTAGTTGTTCTGCGTCTGTCTGTCTGTCGTCGTGTCTGTCCTATCTGTCTGTCTGTCCTATCTGTCTGTCTGTCTGTCTGTCCTCGTCTCCTCTCTCTCTCTCTCTCTCTCTCCACCCCAACTGGTCAAGGCAGATGACCGCCCACGTAGAGCAGAAGGGTCTGTCCTAGGTTTCTGCTTTTAACAAGGCAATTTTTTCTTTCCCGTCACCAAGTGCTTGCTCATGGTGGTACTGTTGGGTCTCTGTAGTTTGTTAAAAGGAGTTCCGGTCTAGACCTGCTCTTTATTTGAAATAGTGTCCTGAGATAACTTTGTTATGAATTGGCGCTATACAAATAAAATTGAATTGAATTGAATTGAATTTTCTTGAAACGAAACATGACAAGCTCCTCATTAGCGACATAGAGGGAAGGTGCTTTAGTCAATCGGACACAAGTGTGATTTTGAACATACAGGACATTTTACTAGACAGATTCACGTTTAGCCTCTGATCAGTGCCAGAATGCCCTTAATTTGAAAATGCTTCTTAATAATAAAGAAAACTAGATACAAATAAATTGTTTCTAAGAGGCACCAGCACTGTGACCTGCACGACTAACCTATTGATCGTTTTACTACAGCTCCCCTTTAACAAATCATGTCATCTGTTTGTGATTGAATGCAGTGAAGGCTCTAAGTATCTGTATCAATCAATCCGTCAGTATCAATCAGAAAGCAATAGCCTGTCTGCACCATTCTCGGC